CATCATCATCACCATAAACATCATCATCATACTACTACTACTGAGTGATGTCCCCTTTTTGTACCTGTCAATTTTTCCCCCTTCAGTTGCATTTAATTCCATCTCATCACCCGCTAAATCTCCCGCCCCCTCTCCCTCAGGAGATAGTTTTTGACCGGTCCTAAAGTGAAAGCTACTATTGCGCCTTCTTTTAGAGGATTAAACACCAATAGACATGGAAATAAGAGTATCTGGAAATTGCTTTCTTTCATCCTCTTCCCCCCCCCCCCCCCCCCCCCACACACACATACACACACACAACACACATTGTAAGCATGTCTACGATGACTGCGCTTTTCTAAGTTTTTGCCAAGTGGAGCTTTTCTCTGGAGGACGCAAAGCAGCCGCTACAACATGGTGGAAAAGATATCGCGTCTGTTCAGGTCATGGATCAGTCGCAACTAAGAAAGTAGTTTACTTTTTCCATATAAGACGAAAAATTGGCGGCGSATCTTAATTCTTTTTCAAATTTGATCTTTACAGATATTAACGATTCATATTTTTCAGCTTTAAAACTCTTCGATATTTTTCGGTCGAACCGAATATAACACCACCGGTGGTGAATTCGAATTTTGGACGCTGGATCCGCCATCAYTTGCGACTTCAACTGGATCTCGTGACCCAAAACATACAATCTTCTTGGCTTTGCGCAAAATAAAAACAAGTTCTTTTCTAAACTCAGGCATCCTGACAGAATACACAATGCAATTGAGAAAGGAATTGCTATAAACCAGACAGTAAATGCCGTATTCCAGCGACTGATTAGAGCCACTATGGTCAAATTTCTCAAAGATGTTAATTGGCCACCAAGTTATAAGAAAAATAGCAGTGACAATCGACAAAGTTTTGGCCATTTTTTTATTCTCTTGTTCGCTTCGTCGAGTGTTGAAGCGCTTGTAGAATGTCACTTTGATCCAGATTGCGATGTACGATGATACAATCAGAGCAGTCAAGAATAGGGTCAGTGATATCCGGAAATAGTTTAAGACTGATGAATCCAGCGTTTTCAACCAATGGTATCCAATTGTTTCTTTTATAAGGAACACTGAAACTGCAGAAGCAATAAACCAAGATGACCCAATACACCAAAAATAGTGCGACCGCTTTAAAACTCGATGTCTAAAAGGGCAAAATATTGCAAACACTCTCTCTACAGCAATAGCAGTGATCGACAAAAGTGACTCAAGAGCCGCCAACACTGATGGGAGGTAAAACGCGAGTTTGACATTAGGATCTTCAACAAAATCAACAGCAAAAATGACTGGTATCGTAAGCCCAACCAGGARGTCTGCAAATGTTAAGTTAATAAGAAGGAAAGTTGATTTCTTGATCAGAAATTTCTTCTTGAAGAAGATAGACAAAGCCACAGAGTTGAGGATTAAGATGACGAGAGACTCTGTAGTGAAGATGGTATACCAGACGATTCTGACGGCAGTCGAAATATTACTGTCTTCAGAGGAGACGAGAGACAAGTTACTTGTAGTACTCACTTTCTTTTCCATCATTTTGAATTACCTTTTATATTACTGCGAACTAAATGTGAACTCAATTTGCGAAGA